TGTCGGCGTCAACCTCAGCCGCGAGGCGCTCGTCGACCTCGCTGAGGTAAACGACAACGTCAACGGTACGACCAGCCTCCACCAGCGCGGGCGCCAAACTCGATAGGTCCAGAAAGGCAAACTTCTGGGGAAAGGCGAACAGCTCTGTCAGTAGGCGGTAGGCGTGGTTGGAGGTGGCGGGGTAGGGGAGGAGCCCTTCGTTCTCTTCGAATCCGACGGGCTGGATCGCCCCATCGCTCAGTACCGCCAGGCGACGTTTATCGCTGGCCTCCGCGTCGTAGACCTCAATCGACGTGACGCTCGTGAGCAGCAGCTCGTAGAGTTTCGCCACCAAGACGGCGTCGCCCTGCAGGTGGAAGCGGAGCTTGTCGAGCGTTAGGTCCGCCAGAGCCATGTCCGCATGAGCTCGCAGGCGGATTCGGAGGACGCCTTGGGTCTTGGGCGGCGGCGACAAAGACGGCGCGAACGGCGGCAACTCGACCCGCGATTCAACGATGTCCAGCGGCCACAGCGTCGTGTCGTAGCAGGTGCGATAGCGGCACGCGACGCCGTCGGGCGTCGTTGCACGCAGGCGGCTGCCACGTGGCACGGGAGTGCCGGTGGGCTGAGGCGCCGAGGGGTCAGGCTTGAACTCGGCGATCGCCATCGACGGGATCGGCGCCAAGTAATGTGGGTAGAGCGTTCCCAGCAGTCCGTCGGTGACTTCAGGGAACTCTTCGTCGAGTTTCTTTTCAACGCGGGCGCTCAGCAGCGCGAAGGCCTCTATCAAGCGCTCGACATGCGGGTCACGGCTCTGCCCCCCATCCAGCAGCAGTTGCCCCGCGGCGGCCGGAAACTGCTTAGCAAACTCCTCCGCGTCGTGGCGGATGAAGTGCAGTTCACGTTCGTAGTACGGGTAGAGCGTCGTGCTCATGTTCGCTCCGCGGTGATCTGTGCACGTCCGCTCGTCGAGCGAACATTAAGCGCTAGCGACAGGTCGGCCGAATCGGCAAGAGTCGCCTCAATCCGCAGCCGACCAATCGGCGAGCGTGACTTGGGGTCTTCGACCCGCACCCGGACTCGTCTCAAGCGAGGTTCGAAGCGTCGCAGTGTCTTCTCAACCCGCCGCGCCGTGGCGAAGCGTTCTTCGTGCGTGCCGATCGACGTGGCTTGCGGCGCCGGGGAGCCATAGCGGTGAATCGAGCTTGCTACTTCTGGGAACTCGCTATCGACTTCGGCGTCGTCGATGCAACAGGTGTTGAGTAGTAGCTCGATATCGTCAATCAAGCGTTCGATACGCACGGGCTGTCGCTGTTCGACGCCCTGGCACGCATCGACCAAGTGGTCGAGCAGCGAGGACGTGGAGACATTCGGGCGATGGGTCATGATCGAAAGCAATGCATAATGAAAACGGGCCGCGGCCGCGACGACGCGGCCGCGGCCCGTTCGTATCCACTCGGGCGTGTCCGAATCAGACAGCCTTGTTCTCTTCCAGGTTCCAACCCGCCTTGACCGGCGTCTCGAGGGCGCCCTTGCCTGTCTGCGGACGGTACTGGTAGGTGATCTTGGCGAAGGCCAGGGTCACCGTGTCGATCGGCAGCGAGCTGCCCGAGCCGCCGCCCGTGTTGTAGGACGACACGAGGACTTGCTCGAGTTTGATCGAGTAGAAGTCCTCTTGCTCGCCGCCGGCCTTACGGGCGGTCAGGGTGGCTTCCTTGATGTGTTCGCCCTTGGCGCACGAGAGGAACAGCTTCGGGGACGCCTTGCAGGTGTACATCGTGAAGGTCAGGTCCTGCATCGAGACCTTGCCGCTGCCGCCGCCGTTGACGAACGGGATACTGACGGGCTGCGTTTCGCCCCAGTTGAAACCCAGGATCTGGATCTCTTTGCCGTGCTTGGAGTCGAGCGACTCGCCTTCGATGCCATCGATCTTCAGGAAGTAGTCGATCGAGGGATTGGGTGCGCTGTGGTCCATGGTTTATCTCCGGTTAGTTATTTCTGGTAATGAAGGGCGAGGGCGCCCATGATGTCGGCTTCGCGTTCGAGGCCGCTGTTGTCGTTAACGCCAATCATCCTCTTGAATTGCATCGTCGGATTGACGCGTCCCTGCTTCTGTTGAACGACGTGCCAGGCTTCATGCGGTAGATGCTTCTCCTGGCCGGGGGCCAAGTGAATGTCCGTCCCCTGAGCGTAGGCGTGCGCCTGGAGCTGCGCAGGTTTCGAGCTGTTGTAGTGGACTTTGACATCGTCCATGCTGTAGCCCGACAGGTTCTCGATGCCGCTTTTGAGGTTGTCCGGCAGTCCGGTGTTGTTTTCAGCCACGGTTGTCTCCTCTCGGATTCGGGAGGCACGGGTGAGGGGCCGATGGCCCCTCACCGCGCGTCCCTATGCATGAAGATGAGTTAGTCCCTACGTTCAGCCCTTCTTGGGCACTTCCGCAACCAGTCGCATCGACGCGGTGAGCGTTTCAAGCTGGAAGTGCGGACGCAGCCAAGCGACGGCCTCGTACCAACCGGGCTTGCCGGCGACTTCGCGGACCTCGACCTTGGCGTCGGACAGCGGGCACTTGGCCTTGGTCTCGTCGCCAGCCATCGTGGGATCGCAAACGTAGTTCGAGATCCAATCGTTGAGCCACTTCTCGCACTGGTTGGCTTCGAGCATTGAGCCGACCTTGTCGCGGGCCATCACCTTCAGGTAGTGGGCGAAACGCGAGACGCACATCAGGAAGTTGATCTTCGTCGAGAGGTCCGCGTTCGCGGTCGCCAAGTCATCGAAGAACGTCTTCTGCTTCTGAGCCGACTGGGCGCCCATGAACACGGCGAAGTCGGTGTTCTTGGCGTGCAGGAGCGGAAGGAAGCCGAGCGTCGAAAGCTCGAATTCGCGCCGGTCAGAGATCGCGATCTCGGTCGGGCACTTCATCGCGACGTCGCCGTCGTCGGTGTTGAACGTGTGGACCGGCAGGTTCTCGACCTTGCCGCCACCCTCAACGCCGCGAACCTTCGCGAACCAACCGTACTTGCTAAACGCGTTGGTGACGCGGACCGCGTAGGCCCACGCCGCGTTCATCCACAGGTATTTGCCGTGGTCGCGGCCATCGACGAACTCCTCAAAGTCGAACTCTTCGACGCTCTTGAAGTCCTTGCCGTAGGGAAGGCGCCCCAGAGCACGCGGCAGGCAAAGGGCGACGTAGCGAGCGTCTTCCGAGTCGCGGAACGAACGCCACGAGGCGTGCGCGGCCGACTCGAAAATCTTCGCCAGGTCACGCGGGTTGGGCAGCTCGGTAAAGCTGGTCAGGTTCAGCAGCGCCGGCGAGGCGCCGGTGATGAACGGGGCGTGCGAAGCCGCAGCCACGTTCGAGATCATCTTTAGAAGGCTGATGTCCTCCGGGTGACGGCTGAACTCGTAGTCGCCCACGAGTAGGCCATAAGGCTCGCCGCCCAGTTGGCCGTACTCTTCCTCGTAAACCTTCTTGAAGAGGGCGCTCTGGTCGAACTCAACAGCGGTCTCCAGGTCCTTGAGCAGCTCACGCTTAGTGAGGTTCAGGACGCGGATTTTCAGCGTCGTACCGGTCTCCGATTGGTGGACGAGGTAGTGCAGGCCCCGCCAGCTCCCTTCGAGCTTCTGGAACTTAGGGTCGTGCATGATCTCGTTGAGCTGAGCCGAGATCTTCTCGTCGATCTTACCAATCCAGTGATTGATCTCTGCTGCGGCGTCCTTACTGGTCAGCTGATCGTCAGTGACGATGTGGCTGAGGAACTCCTGCAGGTAGTCCTTCTGTTGTTCTAGTTCGGTGTCGTCGAGCGCGCGTGAATTCTGGAGCAACTGCTCCAGCAGGCTCAACTCGTCGAGCTCTGCGGTGTCTTGGGTGGCTACTGCTGTCGCCATTATGACGGTCTCCGATTATTTGTATTGATGTTCAGATGGAGGAAGGACGTGGCGTCACTCGGACTTTCCGTCGCCCAACTCGTCGGCGAGCGACTTGGCGGCTTCGGGGTTGGTCAACACTTCACGCAGCAAGTCGGCGTACGAATCGTTGCCTTCCATCGTGCTGAGGATCTGACGCAACTTGTGGCGGGCGTCGAGCAGCGCGTTCAGCGCCGGCGTTTGCTTGGCGACGTTCTGCGGCTCGAAGTCGGTGATGTCTTCGAACTTCAGTTCGACCGAGAGGTTCGTGTCCTCGTCCGTCAGGCGGTTCGGGACGCTCATCACCAGCCGCGGCGCGGTCTTGGCGAGCACTTCGTTGAAGTTGTCGCGGTCGATCGGTACGAACTTGCGCTCCTTCACGGCCTTGGGCGTCTCTTCGGCGTCGCCGGCGAGATCGGACATCACGCCAACGACCATCGGCAGTTCTTTCTGCTCCAGGGCGCCGCCAGTCTCGACGTCATAAGTAATCTGCACGCGCGGGCGACGCACCCGGTCCAGCGTGTGTTGAAGGCTCTCGCTCATCGGTAAACTTCCTCAGTGGTAGGCTCGGGGGACGCCCCGAAACGGACACGGGTGGTCAATAAAGGCTCAATGGGCCAACACGGCGGTTCCGTCCGGTTCGGCAATCCCAAACTCACGATTCAGTTCCGAGAGCGCCGAAGGCTCACGGATCACTTGCTCCATCAGACGCGGGAACGGCAGCCTTCCGAGACGCACCGCCCGCTTGATCAAATAGGGGACCGGGCTATGCGGCTCCATCGCCCTGAGCCGTTCGGCTGTGGTGTCGAGCAAGGCGTAAAGCTGCTCTCGCGCCGGATCACGCTGGGGCTCGTCGTCCGACGGTTCGATCATCTCTGCGTCGGCGGTGACAGCCCCCGGGGCCGCAACCCCGAGTTGTTTCAGTTCGTCGGCCAGCAGGCCTGCAAGGTCGCTCAGAGCGCTGCGGACGTTGAGAAGTCCCGGCGACGCATCCCCCATCCGCTCTTCGAGGACGCTGCAAAGCCGCTCGAGGCTGGCAAGCGACTGAAGTGCGAACTGATGCTGCTGACGAAAGACTTCCGTCACCGTGTTGTCGCGCAGACTCGTCAGACGGTTGAGATCGTCTGGCGACGAAGCCGAGCGAAGTCGCGTCCAGGCGACAAAGCTGAGCGGAGACTCCGATTCACCAAGCAACGGCAGGGTACGTAGCAGGCTTGGGAAGCAGACGCCGCGGTCGGGATCGTCCAGCAGGTTCGCCAACGGCACGCCGCGGCTTTCAACGGGGTCGTCTCCCTCAAGCGGCGTCAGTCGGTCCCAACAAGACTCAACGAGTTGTGCTAGTAGTTCGAGACCTTGTGACAAGCCGGCCAGTCCCTCACAACGGGTCCAGGCCTCGGTCAGGTGGCACGCCGTCCGCAAATCCTTCGCCTTCTCTCGCAACGACTCTTCGCACTGCCGTGCGACTTCGGCCCAGTCGGCCCTCTTGAGGACGGCGGGGCGTGTTGCGTCGGTGAATTCGTCTTGGGACTCTTCGCGACGCAGTTCACGCAGCGCTGGCGCCAGCGTCAACGCAAAGTGCGAAGCATCTCCCTCGGGGTGGTCCCCAGGGACAGGTCGCAGCAGCGTTTCGAGATCGACGGGTGGCATCGTGAGGCCGACGGCTGATTCGGTTAGGCGCAGCTTGGATTGGGCAGATGCAATGTGGACGCTCTTGAAATTAGGTCACCCCGGCACGCCGTAAGCCGGGCCGAAAAAAAAATCACTGCTGTTTTCAGCGCTGCGCCGCTGGCCGAAGGTCGTGACGTACTCTTCTGCGCTGCTTCGGCCGGCCCATGGCCTGCGCTGCCCGTGTATCCGTCACAACTGCTACAGCCAGACTCATGCCGTTCGCCTCGTCACTGTCGCTGCACCGCGCAATCGACTACGCGCTGCGGCTGCATGCTGCGGTTGAGCGTGGCGCTAGCCGCGATATCGCCCACGAGCAAGCGGTGCTCACAAACCTAGCGCTTGATACGCCCGGCTGCGACCTGCCGGGGCAGTGCCGGGGCGCCCGTTACGCGCTGGTTTGCTGGCTCGACGAACTCTTCACTTGCCACTCTCGCTGGGCCGACGCCTGGAACGAAGGCAAGCTCGAATCCACCCTCTACGGCGGCAATGACCGGGCGTGGGAGTTCTGGCGTCAGGCCAAGCTCGCCGACGCCGAACCCAACGACGATTCCCTTGCGGCCTTTTACTTGTGCGTTGCGCTCGGCTTCCGCGGCGAATTACGGAACCAGCCCGAGCGGCTCGCCGCTTGGGTCGAGAAGGCAAAATCACGCGTCGCTCGCGGCGCCACACCGGCCTCGCAGACGACACGGATCGCACGTCGATCCCGCCCCTCCAATCGGCTGTGGGGCAAGACCCGGCTCCGGCGGTTCGTGACGTTTGCCACGATCGCTGCAACGGTGCTGCTGCCGCTAGCCGCCTTCGCCATCACACGGAGGGTGCTTGGCTAGCATGATTGCCCTACTCAAGAAGATTGCCCTCGGTGTTATTAAGTCGGCCTTTACGCCACTAGCGGGCGGTAAAGTGACGGGCGTCGCTCATGCGTTGCTCGTCGTCGTGACACTGGTAGGACTCTGGCAACTAAATCTGTGGTTGGGTATTGACCAAGTGGTGCACGCTCCCTCCCGACTGGTGCGGGAATGGTGGCTGCCGCTGCTGTTCTTACTCGGCTACGGCTTGATTTGGATTTCTCTCTGGACCTGGCGCGCCTTCAGCGAGCCGACAGCGGGTTCTCCGTTCCCCGATATCGATGACGCTTGGCGTGCCGTCGTATCAGCGATGGAACGCTGGGGCGCTGACCGCCGCGACAAGCCGCTGGTCCTCGTCTTGGGCCAACCCTCGATGCGTGAGCAAGACCTCCTTTCAGCGCTGAGGGTGGCTCCGACGTTTGGGCCAGCGCCTTCAGCGTCTGGCGGGCCGTTGTGCGTCGTCGCCGATGACCGCGCTACCTACCTGTTGTGCTCAGAAACGTCGCTGCTATCGCTCGGAACAGAGAAGCTGATTCAACGCCGCACTACGCAAAGCAGTCGGAAACTCACGGCAGCGGCTTCGGCGTTTGAAGCGTCGATGCCCGCCGCCTTGCGTGTCGAAGCGAATGGCGATGACTCTACCGGGACCGCCACGCTCGTCGCCCCGGCGATAACTCAGACACCGTTTGACGACTCCATCGCTGACGACCTCCCGTCGACGCCACTGTTTACCGATGAGCAGGCGTCTCGCTGCGCCGGCCGGCTCAGCCATTTGCTGCAACTCGTGGCCCGCGATCGTGAGCCAGGATTGCCGGTTGATTCGGCAGCGGTGGTTTTCCCCTGTGACGCCCTCGCCGACACCGACGCGACTGCCCAGATGGCGGACGCGATGCGGCAGGACCTTGTAGTTGTCGAAGAGGCCGGAGTGCGCTGCGGCGTCATCGCGATCGGCGCTGACCTACAACACGTGCCCGGCGCCGGGCAGCTCTTGCACTTACTCTCCGCCGACCGCAAAGCTCGTGTCTACGGCGCCAAGCTGCCGCATGACGCCCTGACCTCCGAGTCGGCGTTGCGAGACGCGGTGGATTGGCTGACCGGAGCCGTGACGCCAACCCTCTGTCAGCGGCTGTTCCAGTTCGATGAGGACGGCTTTGAGTCGTTGCCCGACAACGCGGCTCTGCACGCCTTCCAGAGTGAGGTGGGTCGCCGTGGCGAGCACTTGGCCAACTTGCTGACTCAGGGCCTCGATACCGGCAGCGGCGATGCCTGGCCGTGCGTGGGGACCTATTTGGTCGCTACTGGCGATCCCGTCGGTGGCAGCCAGGCGTTTGGAGCCGGACTGTTAGATAGCCTGCTCGATTCGCCCGTACGCGCCGCCTGGACCAAGGAAGCCCTGCAGCGAGACGCGCTCGTGACCCGCAGCGTCGCCATCGGATACGCCGCCTTCGGCATCGCGACATTAACTGTCATCGGACTGCTTGCTTTCTGAGCAGGTCTATCGCTTCGATGATTGCCAGAGTTCGACAAGGCTTCTGTTTGCCTGGGGTGGTTTAGGCGCCGGAGGCGTTGCGACCGGTGGCATATCAAGCGGTGGTGGGGCGCCACCTGCTGTGGGTTGAGCGTACGCTACCCGTACCGCGTCGTCCTCGGAGCCAACCGTGCTCAGCGGCGCCTCCGGGGGCGTCGCCGGCGCTGAAACATCAGTGCATTGCTGACAACGTTGCAGAGCCACCAGCGCCATTTGCCGCACCGCGGGGCAGCGCTCTGCCGGATTACCATCGTCGCATCCGCCGGTGACGCAGACCGTCAAGGCCTTCGTCGTCGCGGGTGTGCAACAGCACCCGCATGCCAGCGCTTTAGCCGCTTCGAGTCGCACGCACTCGTCCCGGTCGGCGCGGAGCGAGGCGATCAACGCCGCCTCGGCTTCCGGGTAATAGCGACAGTCGAGGCAGGCTAAGTAAGCCACTGCTTCGCGCCGCAGGCCGGCCTCGGCCTTCTCGGACTTGATCTGCGCCGCGGCGGCGACGCTTGGTGGGGGCGGCGGCGGTGGCTTGGGCACGGCGCCCGGCGCCATGCCGGCGGGCTGGGTGGCGTTCAACTCAACCGCGGCAGCGAACTCGTTATCGCAGGGCGCCGGGATCAATCCGCCGGTCAACTTGCTGATTGGCCGAACGGCGTTCCCGAGGAACTTGCCGAAATTCGAGGTCTGGCAGTGCAAGTGGGCGCGACGGCACGTCCAGGCGACGTTGCCCCAAAAGCCCCGCGGCTCTGCGCCGGCTGCGGCCGACGGCAGGACCTCGCCTTGTGCGGAGGCGACGACTGCTAACGTCAACATACACGACGCTAGCAAACGCGATGCTGCTAGCGTCTGGGTGCGAAGTTGTTGTCGAAT